GAGAGAGAGAGAGAGAGAGAGAGAGAGAGAGAGAGAGAGACCACACTTTGGCCCGAATTACGCTACTTTTGTGTTTTTCTTTTTCTTGTTTCGTACACACGCCTCTTCGATAGATGTGTATACATATACATATGTTAGTGAACGATCGTCTCTCGAGAACATCGAATCGATGCTTAATTAGATTTCATTTACGCGTTCCTAATTCAATTTGCGTTTAACGCAATCGTTAACTTGTATCGTGACCGTCGGAAAATGTGTTCCTTTTTGTGTGCGACGACGGAATAGACGAGTCAATTGGGTGCGCGAGACTTTCAATGTTATATCGATCAAATGTAATTGCGTGTCGCCCAGCACGCGCCTTTGCTCGATAATTGCGAATCGTCCTTATTTAACGAACGACGCGATCGGATGATGAACGCCATTATACGACGACATTCCAATTATATTTATGCGCAATGATAAGGTGTTATACTTTCAAAGATGTGCAATATAGATCTATATATATATATATATATATATATATATATATATATATATATTATAATATATATATGTATGTATGTATGTATGTATATGTACATGCGTGTGTGTGTATGTGTGTGTGTGTGTGTATAATTGCATTTGTTATTTATTTATTTTTTTATCGGAGATAACATCTTGTCGCAAATACGATGAGTAAATTATACGAAAGATTCATTAAGATAAGAGTAGTTTTGAAAGAGTTGCAACAAAAAAATCGTTTATAAATGTCTTTGGAAAAGACAAACTCTCAATCGCTTCGAAATCTCGCAAGTCGCATATTATATCTTAATTGTATTATATCTTAATCATATTTTTTTCAATCTATTGTTTTGCAAAGCGGAAGTCAATTCAGCATTTTATTTTTCCGCCAAGGAATGTGGATTTTCTAATTTCCCTGCCGGCTGTAGTGGTTCACGATTGGTCGGTTACGACGAAAAGGAAAAGAAAGGAAGAAATGAATAGAGCTTTGAATGGGACTGTCAATTTGAAATCTGTGAAGCTTGATACGCATCTTTCTTCTCAAATAGAAACTTCCGTTGATTGGGCTCATTAATAATGCCGCAACCGCAATTGACTCAAGCTAAAGAAAATTTCAACTCTAGAGTAACGTAAATTAAGTTTCAAGAGTTCGTACAACGTAAACAAAACACCGCGTGGTTGCACATGCGAAAAAGCGTGGAAAACGTTTCTTCGTATTAATGAAATACCAGAATCATAGAATCAATGATTCAATCTAAGTAAATGAATTATTGACGAAATAAAGCGCGAGGAGAATTAAACGTTGAGAAATCAACGCTTCAAATATAAAAGTAAAAGAAAACTTGGGGAAAATACGGAATACCGCGGAATCTTGTTTGCGTTGTTCGAGAAAGAAGCTTACTCACCCAACATCTTCAGCACCCTTCTCGACGATCTACCGGGATGGTGTCTGCAATTTCTCGTCGACTCGACTCTACCAGACACATTCTTCATTATGTTCGACTTTCTGAGCTTGAGGCCGATGAGCGCGTAGAGTACCGTAATCAGGCACATCGGCATGACGAAAAACAGAAACGTGGAGAGCTCAAACGAATGGCTGATGATGATTCTCTTGACCGTGCACATAACCATGTCGGAGTAGCCGCTGTGTTGCATCACGCCGAACTGCAGAGCCTGCGGTAGCGCAAAGGACAAGGCTACCAGCCAGATCACGAGGATCAGCTTGATCGCGCGCGACAATTTCGACAGAGTCTGCGAGAGGAACGGATGGCAGATTGCCACGTATCTCTCGACGGTGAAGGCGGCGATGGTGAGTACCGACGCGTTAACCGACGTTTCTGCGGCGAGGCCGCGTAGGACGCAGAAGCCCTCGCCAAAAATGTACGGATATTTGCACCAGACCAGGTATATCTCCGCCGGCAGGCCTGATACCAGTAGCAACAGGTCCGATACGGCCAGACTGAAGAGATAGTAGTTGGTGGCGGTGTGCATGGACTTGTTGCGTGCGATCACGATGCACGTGCTGATGTTGCCGATGATACCGGTGAGAAAGATCGACGCGTAGATGACGGTGACCGGTATTACTATGTACAGAGAATCTCGATACGGAAGACCGGAAGGCAGATGCTCCACGGCAGATTCTGAGTAAGTGTCGTTGAGGCAAGGAGAGGCCATCGCGCGATCCACTCATTACACTTATTCGCTCTAATCTAAAGGAGAGACCTCTTAGTCATCCTGACTGTTCCTCTTCTCCCTCGAAGCCCTCTTTCTCGCCTTGACGAGACTAGTTTTTCTCGAGTCTCTTCCAGTAATTGAAATCGTTCTTAGCTCTTTACGAACGCACCGAGTCACCTTCTGTCTGAATTCTCACGTCTACGGAATGTCTCTCGTTCTCGGGTATCCCATGTGCGACACTGATAATTGAACGAGAGCACGTGAGTGTCTCACTCGGCGTTGCGCGCGACGCTGAGGATACGACACGATGATACTGATGTGTTTCACACGCGCTACGGCTTCCTCCTTCCTACCTTCCTTCCTTCCTTCCTTCCTTCCTTCCTTCCTTCCTTCCTTCCTTCCTTCCTTCCTTCTTTCTTTCTTTCCTTCACGAAAAGCCAACAGTCTCTCGTGATGACGAACCGTCACCGGCGCCGGTCGAATCGCGACTGAACCGCCTGACGCCATCCAGCAGGTTCAACGCTGCCGCTC